AACCCCAGGGCAGCCACCCAGAGGGAGGGCACAGGATCTGTGAATCACAGAGATGTGGAATGGCTTGGAAGGACCTCAAAGCCCATCCAGTGCCACCCCTCCATGGCAGGGACACCTTCCACTGTCCCAGGCTGCTCCAAGCCCCAGTGTCCAGCCTGGCCTTGGACACTGCCAGGGATCCAGGGGCAGCCCCAGCTGCTCTGGGCACCCTGTGCCAGGGCCTGCCCAGCCTCTGAGTAAAGAATTCTTTCCCAGTCTCTCAGTTCTCTTCCTCCCCGGCAGTCGATTTGAGAAGGTTCTTTTAAAAGCTGACACAGCAGCTCCTGAAATCCAGCAATCGAGGTTTCTGCAGCAGAGCAGCTCAGCACCAGCAAAAAAATTCTGCTGCAAGATGTAAAATGTCCCATCCTGTGGTTTTACAACATCCTGCAGCTGCCCAGAGGGGCTGCACTGCCTCAGGAGGAGGAGGAGAGGGAGGAAGGGCTGACCCCAGAGGGGTACCTGGAGCTGTTCTCACGTCAAATTGGACACAGGCACAAACAATTCCTCTGCAGCAAGTCTCATTTGCCATCATCAGATTAACTCCTCTGCAGGGACAGCAGGAGAAACTCACACACGAGAAGGAACTGCAGCAGGTTTATCTCTGAACTCCATAAAGAAAAATCCCTCTCCAGGCAAAACTGTCTTTGGAGAGAGCCCCAACACAGCCCCTCACGCCCTCTCCCTCACTCCCTCTCCCTCACTCCCTCTCCCTCACTCCCTCTCCCGCCCTGCCCTGCCCTGCGCCACGGCCATTCCCTCACATTTTCCCCTTCATTTCACCCTATTAAGGCACTAATTGATTGACCAGATCAGGAGAGTCCAGATCTGTCCCCAGGGACTCTCCTGCATTCCCAGCTCTACAGGCAGAGCAGGAAACCTCGGTGCTGGGATGGGAGGGGAACCTCCATGTCACACACCAGCTGTGTCCCACCCCAGCAGTGTCCTCCTGCTGTCCTGTGTCCCCAGCCAGTGCTGATCCCCCTCCTCTCACTGAATTCCCTCCCCAGCCAGCCCCAAATGCATCCCACCGCTGGATGTGGGCCCTGCCCCGTTTTCCAGGGAACAGAGGGTCCTTGGGGCCTGTGCTTGGGGTGCAGCTCAGAGCTCGGGGGTCCCTGCTGTCCCTGGCCTGTCCCTGGCCTGTCCATGTCCCTGCTGTCTGCCCCTGGCTGTCTCTGGCTGTCCCTGCTCTCCCTGCCTGTCCCTGCTGTCCCTGCCTGTCCCTGCTCTCCCTGCCTGTCCCTGACGTCCCTGATGTCCCTGGCCTGTCCCTGCTCTCCCTGCCTGTCCCTGACGTCCCTGATGTCCCTGGCCTGTCCCTGCTCTCCCTGCCTGTCCCTGATGTCCCTGCCTGTCCTTGCTGTCCCTACTGTCCCTGCCTGTCCCTGCTGTCCCTGGCCCATCCCTGCTGTCCCTGGCCTGTCCCTGCACATCCCTCCCTCCTTGCACAGGGATGCTGTTGGATTTTTGGCCATTCTTACTCACCCATCAAGGATCATAAACCCCAGGATATCCCTCCCCCTAGCAGAAGTCTGTGAGAGGCTGGAGAAAGAAAAAGGTTCTCCCAAACCCAGAGAACACAAACAGCTGCTGAGCTGTTCCTTGTGCAGGACTGGTGGAATCTGAAATGCAGCAAACTCTCAGAACTTTGGGCCTGTAGTCCAAAGCTTAGAACTGAACTCAAGATTTGATCTGAGACCTTGGAAAAGTCTTCCAAACTGAGGTGCTAGAAGTGAGAATGTGGATTTAGAGTTTAAAGCAGAGACACGTTAAGCTAAGTAAAGGAACATTTAGAGTTTTAGTTATAGAAAAAATAAAAGTAGTTACAGAGGTAAACAAGAAGTTTAAAATGCAGTACTTTAGGTTTGTGTGTCATAACATGATGGCTAAGAAAGCTTACACTGTAGCATGGGTCCATAAGACAGAATATTTAAGGATTGGGTCAAAAACATAAATATCCTCATAGGCAATATTTTACTGGTCAATAATGCCTCAAAAAGTCTTGGAACTAAGGGTCTTATGACCTTGTGAACCCTGCAGTGAAGATGTGAGCTGAGCTCCCCCTTCCTGCCTGTGTAGGAGATAAGAAAATCAACTGCATCATCAAAACCAGCTCAGAGATCGTGTCGCAATTCCCTTCCAAAATTGCCCACAAGTAAATTATCACACAGGACCTGCTTCTCCAAACCTGCAGGGACATCCCAGCAGTGAGAAATGAGAGCTCTGGGCAGTGTCTCCCCATTGGAATTCTGTGGCTCCTGCTCCTGCAAAGCAGCTTTGTTTATCCCAAATGCCCAGATGCTCCTGATGGCACGCACAGGCACCTGGCTGAGGGGATGATCCAGCCCTGTCCCCTCATGCCAGACAAAGCCCCAGACGTCCTGCCTGAAATTCCCTGCAGCCTCTGTGTGTACACAGCAAAGGGAAAGGGGGGGAAATCAATCAGGCAGCGCTGTGGCTCTCAGCTGGTCAGGTACAAAGTGTTGGCTTTTCCAAATCACCTCATCAGTGCTGTGGGCACAGAATTTCCCCTGCACCCAATGCAGATGCAGCCCTGTTGTTTAACAATGCCACTTGTCCTGACTTCCCAAAGCATTTCTGCCACCCCAGAGAGGTGGCAGAAAACCTCTGCCTTCCATTAAAAACCTCTCATCCAGGGCTGTTATTCCCTCTGGGCCCCGGGACCTGGAGCTCCTCCACATTCCAACCCAAAGGAAGTGTTTAACCTGGAGCCTGGAGGTCTTTGCCCTTAGAAATGAGCTTGGCAAAGACATCCCAGCATGGGGAGGGCTGGAGGGCAGCTGCTGCTTGGATGGGGAGGGGAAGGCACTTTCTGGATGCCCACATGGTTCCTCTCTCCCGTGAGACTGATTGAAGAAGCTTTGGGTTGAGGTTTCCTGGTGGCACTGCCCAGCCAGGTGTCCCTTTTGTCCCATCCTTGCCCCCCAGCCCTGGGCCCAGCCACAGCCTTGTGGGCACCATTCCCTCCTTAAAATCCTTCCTTGGGAATGGCTGCAGGGTTGAAAGGCTCTGTCAGCAACCTGGGCTCAGCCCCCACCACTTGCTCCAGAAAATGTAGAAATTGCACATCAGGGGAGGCCAAGCTCTGATCCCACAAAGGCTTGGCTTCCCATCAGGAGTCCCACTGGAGATGATGCAGAGGCAGAAATGCTCAGGGATGAGGTGACTGATGGCCCTGAAGAGGGATTGGGTAAAGCCAAGGAGCAATGGGCAAAGAGAACCTGTTCCCTGAATGACACTTCCATGATTTTTTCCATGCTTTTTCTTTGGGAAAAAGTTGCAGAGACATTGTACTCAACCCCAGAGGAACCAGAGCTCTTCAAGGTCTCAGAAGTCCAGGGAAGTGCTGAGTAAAGAGGTGATAAAGCCCATAACTGCTGTTTTCCAAGGCCATGGAGCACTTGTGGAACTCAGAGCTTTGCTGCCTGAAGGAGCCCCCAGGGCTGTCCCTGCCCACCCAGGGCTCTCACCTGGAGCCTCTGCTCCCTTTTCCCTGTCCCACCACAGCCAGGGAGGCACCAGGGCCATGTCCCTGTGGAAGCTGATCCCAGGAACCCTGCTGCCCTAAATCCAGGCACAATCCTGTCTCCCAGCCTCATTCCAGGCATTTGCAGGGCTGGGAGGGTCACTAAAAGAAAGCAGTGGGTTAAACCATGAGCAGCATTTTCACTAAGGCTCCAGACTTCTCTGCTCCCCATCCAAGAGCTCAGCTCACAAACTTGATTTTCCCAGCAGGATTTTTGCTTCTTGAGCAGCTCCTGAGGGGCTGGGATTCTGGAAGGTGCCAATGGCTCCCTGGGATGGGATGGGGCTCCCTCCTCTCCTTCCCAGGCTGGGATGAGGCTCCCAAGGAGCAGTGGAGGCACTAAAACATCCCTGGCTCCCAGTCCTGCCCCTCCTGGTGCCATTTACTGCCCCCAGGTGCATGACAAACCATGGGGGCTTTGCCTGCACCAAACTCCTGCTTTGACAACCAAATCCTGGAATCCAGAGCAGAATTTTCAGGGTTATTCTGTCCCATGCCAGGAGGCCAGGAACAAGTTTTTAAAAGCCTTTTAAAATACTCTTCCAATGCTCCACCCAATTCAGTCTGGACGGGGCTGGAGGGTTGTAAAAGAAGGCAGAAAAATCTCATTTCCAGGTTTGGCTCTTTTGCTTCATTAAACTTGGGAACAGCCAAAGTTCCTTAGCAGGCCAGGGTTGTGGGATGGTCAGTGAAAGGAGCTGGAATCCCACAGGAAGCCACACATTTGAACCATTGGCAGCAAACATGCAGCTCTGTGTTTTGGAGGATTTTTGATCCTACCATAACATCCTGGACTGCTTTTCTTGGAAGCTCCAGTGCTGTTTAAAGTCTCACTGCAGGGCAGGCAAAAAGCAGCTCCTAGTGCTGGATCTGTCTCCTTCCAGTGCCTGGGACCAGCAGGACCAAACCACCCCAGGGCAGCACCTGGGGCAAAACTTCCTCTGGCACAATACAGAGTGCTCAACCCTGAATTCAGCAGAAATCCCAGCGGATCCTAACCTGCCCAGCACATTCTGTCTGTGTGGAACAACCCCTGCCACAGCCAAGGGACACTGGACAGGGACACACTTCTGGGAGCCGCTGGGCGGCTTCAAGGTTCCCTACTCAAAAGATTTCTGGAGAAAAATGCTTTTCTCTTCCAGAAGTGAATCCCAGACTCCCAAAGATGCTGCATGAGTCTCGGGGTGCTTTGCTGTGTCCAGCTGCATCCATCCACAGGAACACAGGGCTTGGCTGGACACAATTCCCTCCCCCCATGTGGGATGTTCTTCCACAGCCCCCGGCATGATGGACCTCAACACCCTTTCCACGGTCATTCCCACTCAGTAAAACATCCTGTGCTCCTCCACAACTCCACTCTGGAAGCTGCTGAGAGCTGCCTGAAGTTGCAATTCAAGCAATGCTGACTTACCTGCCAGAATATGCTGTCTATTGTGTTCCCCAGGAAGCCGTCCCTGCCCTCCGACGACACCAGCTTAGGTCCCAGAATGGTCATAAATTCATCAAAATCCACCTGGCCATCCCCTGGAATGGGAGGAAAAGATCAGAGACTCAGAAATCAGAGAGAAGGTTGGGTTGGAAGGGACTTTTAGAGGTCAAATAGTGCAACACCCTGATGTGAATAGGGACACCTTCCACTATCCCAGGGTGCTCCAAGCCCCTCCAGCCTGGGATCCCTGCCAGGGATCCAGGGACAGCCACAGCTGCTCTGGAAATCTGTGCCAGGGCCTCCCCACCCTCATTATTATCAATAAATTACCCCTTAGAGCCCAACATGCCCCTCTGGACCTGCTGCACATCAGGGACACCCCTATGCCCTGGGAAACCTCCACAGCAACTTCCTGGTGCCCACGGACCCAAATCCTTTGCTGTGCTAGGGAATGGCCTCTGTTGTGTCCCAAATGGCCCCAAGGACAGAATCAAGCCATGCACTGAGGGTAACAGGTCATTCCCCAGTCCCAGAGAGTCCAGAGGCAGCTCCCAAAAAGCCATTTTGGCAGGGGGACAGGAGCCAGCAGCACAGCCAGGGCTCTCCCTCTTAGGTTCTGCACAAGTTTTACAGGGCCAGCCCCAGGCTCCAGAGGAGGGGAGGACAGGCAGAGCAAGAGCCAGGCCATTGCAGATCCAGCAGGCAGAGCAAGAGCCAGGCCATTGCAGATCCAGCAGGCAGAGCAGGGGCCAGGCCATTGCAGATCCAGCAGGTTTTTCAGCCCAGCTTCCCAGCAGCATCCGTGTGTGCCTGGCATGCAGAGCAGGCAGTGCAGGCACAGCCTCAGTGCCACCAGCAGGGACAGGTGACAGGTCCTGCCACTAATGAGCTGAGCTGGTGCAATGCTGGGTGTGGCTCCTGCTCTGAACGTGGCACAGGGCTGTTTGGAGGGAGTTTTGTACCAAATGTCACTTTTCCCTTCACAAAAAAAGGGATATTCATGACTGCTGAAGGATCTTTAAAATCCCAGTCTGTCTAAGCAGTTCAATGCTCAGATCTCCTGAGAATGCTTAACCTAATCTTGTGGAAAATCTCCTTCATTGATCAGGCCACGGACATCTCCTCCTCCATGTTAATGAACTGATGGGGTGGGTGAATCAGACCTGCTTCCAGCACCCGCAGGATTTGGGGTTGTGTTTTACTCCCATTCAGCGGGAAGTGACCGCATCCAGCCCTCCCTGGAGCCGCTGCTGCTAAGTCACCAGGTGTGAGAAGTGTCTCAGACCGTGAGGCTCCAGCAGATCAACGCCGGGGCCGCGACTGAAACACCGGCAGTGCCCGCGGCAGCGCCGTGTGCCAGCCGTGCCACCGCCGCTGCCTGTGCTTATCACACCTGTGCTGCTTATCAATCACACCTGTGCTTCCTATCAATCACACCTGTGCTGCTTATCACACCTGTGCTGCTTATCAATCACACCGTGCTTCCTATCAATCACACCTGTGCTTCTTATCACACCTGTGCTGCTTATCAATCACACCTGTGCTTCCTATCAATCACACCTGCGCTTCTTATCACACCTGTGCTGCTTATCAATCACACCTGTGCTTCTTATCACATCTGTGCTTCCTATCAATCACACCTGTGCTTCTTATCACACCTATGCTTCTTATCAATCACACCTGTGCTTCTTATCACACCTGTGCTTCTTATCAATCACACCTGTGCTTCTTATCACATCTGTGCTTCTTATCAATCACATCTGTGCTTCTTATCACACCTGTGCTGCTTATCAATCACACCTTTGCTTCCTATCAATCACACCTGTGCTTATTATCAATCACACATGCTCTTATCAATCACACCTGTGCTTCTTATCACACCTGTGCTGCTTATCAATCACACCTTTGCTTCCTATCAATCACACCTTGTGCTTATTATCAATCATACCTGCTCTTATCAATCACACCTGTGCTTCTTATCACACCTGTGCTTCTTATCAACCACATCTGCGATTCTTATCACACCCTATGTGCCGATCCGAGCAGCCGAGTGGCTGGTCGCGATCTCCCGTGCCCTTATCTCGGTACAAACGCTGTGGGAAAACCAGCACAGCCCAAGCCCAAAACCAGCACAGCCCGAGCACAAAACCAGCACAGCCCAAGCCCAAAACCAGCACAGCCCGAGCACAAAAACAGCACAGCCCGAGCACAAAACCAGCACAGCCCGAGCACTCCCTGGGCTGAATTGGTATCTCCGGGCTCCAGGAGATCTGGGATTTCTGGGAGGGAATATCCTGGGGTGAGGCTCTGAAAGGGGACCCTGCAGGGATCCTGTAAAATGGGAGGGATCCGCTCATGGTCCCGCTGCTAAAGCCGCTCCCAGCTCCGGGGCTCTGCAGGACCGCCTTCATTTCTGGGCCAGCATACTGAGGCTCTCCATCACCCGGAGAGCCATTCTGTAGAACATTTATGGGCTGTGAGAAACGCGTTCCCCCTGCCGCCCCTCGGGGGCCGTCCCGCGGGTGGATCGGTGCCGGCACGCCGGATCGCTCGGGAGGGAGCGCAAGGTGACAGCGGCTCCGGGTGATCTACACCGCGGCACTGCGCCCGATGGCACCGACAGCAGCGAGTCCGTGCGCTGGGATGCAAATCGGGATGCTTTGGGATGCTAATTTCTTTAAATTAGCCAGATTAGCAAGAAAACAATTTGCATTTTAAAGAGATGCTGGTACCTGCCCCCGCATTCGTTTGGCCTGTGCCCGGGTGACCCTGAGCACGGAGTTACTCAGTTCGGGGTGTCTCCAATGTCACTCCACCCTCAGAGGGCAGGCAGGACTCGGTCCCACACGTGATTCCAGAGAAAAGGACTGCTGGGCTCTGACTTTGTACAAGACTTCGGGCAGCCCCTCTCTCGTGACTTCCCTGTGCCTCTGCCAGGGATCATCACTAACTACACAGGCTTTAATTATAAGCTTAATGAGAGCATTTTCCACAACCTCCAAAGAAAGACTGTGCTTCTTATCACACCTGTGCTGCTTATCAATCACACCTTTGCTTCCTATCAATCACACCTTGTGCTTATTATCAATCATACCTGCTCTTATCAATCACACCTGTGCTTCTTATCACACCTGTGCTTCTTATCAACCACATCTGCGATTCTTATCACACCCTATGTGCCGATCCGAGCAGCCGAGTGGCTGGTCGCGATCTCCCGTGCCCTTATCTCGGTACAAACGCTGTGGGAAAACCAGCACAGCCCAAGCCCAAAACCAGCACAGCCCGAGCACAAAACCAGCACAGCCCGAGCACTCCCTGGGCTGAATTGGTATCTCCGGGCTCCAGGAGATCTGGGATTTCTGGGAGGGAATATCCTGGGGTGAGGCTCTGAAAGGGGACCCTGCAGGGATCCTGTAAAATGGGAGGGATCCGCTCATGGTCCCGCTGCTAAAGCCGCTCCCAGCTCCGGGGCTCTGCAGGACCGCCTTCATTTCTGGGCCAGCATACTGAGGCTCTCCATCACCCGGAGAGCCATTCTGTAGAACATTTATGGGCTGTGAGAAACGCGTTCCCCCTGCCGCCCCTCGGGGGCCGTCCCGCGGGTGGATCGGTGCCGGCACGCCGGATCGCTCGGGAGGGAGCGCAAGGTGACAGCGGCTCCGGGTGATCTACACCGCGGCACTGCGCCCGATGGCACCGACAGCAGCGAGTCCGTGCGCTGGGATGCAAATCGGGATGCTTTGGGATGCTAATTTCTTTAAATTAGCCAGATTAGCAAGAAAACAATTTGCATTTTAAAGAGATGCTGGTACCTGCCCCCGCATTCGTTTGGCCTGTGCCCGGGTGACCCTGAGCACGGAGTTACTCAGTTCGGGGTGTCTCCAATGTCACTCCACCCTCAGAGGGCAGGCAGGACTCGGTCCCACACGTGATTCCAGAGAAAAGGACTGCTGGGCTCTGACTTTGTACAAGACTTCGGGCAGCCCCTCTCTCGTGACTTCCCTGTGCCTCTGCCAGGGATCATCACTAACTACACAGGCTTTAATTATAAGCTTAATGAGAGCATTTTCCACAACCTCCAAAGAAAGATGCCATTGAAAAATGCATTATCCTCTTATTGACTGCTTTTTCAATTAAAACTCTTAACTAGCAAGGCAGCTAGACCCCACTTTTGCCTGGTAAAAATATCCCTTTAACATTCATGTGAAGCTGCAGAAAACAAACCTTCCCTGCCATCAGCACCTCAGGAAACTGCAGCATCATTTCATCAACAGAGAGAAATCACGGGTTTGTCTGAAAATTCCTTTTGACAGCCACGAGAGAAATGTTATAAAAACCACCACTAAAACCTGCACGGGCTGCTCTGCACAGCCCGGGCACCACTAAAGCCTGGTTTTCACATCCCATCCTGGGAGCACAGTGTGGAATTCGGGTTTGGCACAGGACGAGCCGCCCAGCTCACACTCCTCCTCCTCCCTACGGCCTCGCACCAGTGCTGGGAGCTGCTGGGGGATCGAGCCCTGGAATCAACTCCAACCCTCCCATCCCTGTTCTGCAGATGTGCTGCTCTCCCCAGGGTCCTTGGGATTCCGAGCCATGTGTGGATTATCCACAAATTAACTCAGAGTTGGTTTAAGGATGGGGAGAAAGGAGAAAAAGGCTGGGCAGGAGCTCGTGTGCTGTCTGTTCTCTCTCACCTTCCTCGGTCCTCTCCAGGAGCCATCCCACAATCCCTGATCCCAGCAGGGCTCACTGTGAGCCCTGTGAGATGGATGCTCCCCTCCTCTGCCTCCAAGCTCCCACTGAGGCCTGAACAGGCTCATCCTGAAGGACCAGAACCCCTGGGAAGGCTGGAGGGGCACAGGCAGGACAGCTGCAGCCAGGGGGAGCAGGATGTGCTCCCTGGCCTGGGACAGCTCCTTCCCCTCCCTGCTCCCAGGCACAAATGAAGATTCATAAACCCCGCTCGGGCTGAGGTCCCTGACTGAGGAAGGCAAATGGTTCCATGGGCACCAGGCAGCAACGGGTTAATGGCTGCACCTGAGGGTTTCAGAGCTCTTTTCCAGATTAATGATTCCATGATTCCAAGGCACTC